TCAGGCAGGAAGATCTCTATGAGTTCAAGGCCAGCCTGGAGTACATAGCAAGACTCTGTTTCAGAAAACCAAAACCAAAAACCAGAAACTTCGGGCTGGGCATGGTGGCGCACGCCTGTCATTCTGGCACTCGGGAGGCTGAGGCAGGAGAATCGTTGCGAGTTCAAGGCCACCCTGGGCTACAGAGTGAGCACAAGGCCAGCCTGAGCTGCATAGCGAGACCCTGTGTCAAAAAGACAAAAACAAAAACCAAAAAACAAACAAACTTAAAATGAGAAGGGACAGAAATATCTTTTTTACTTTAAAGTGGGGAAGGATTTCTTAAAGTGGTCTAAAAGGCATTAACTTGGGCTGGGGGGCTGGGGATGTAGTGCAGTGGCATAAGTGCATGCCTGGCAAGCACAAGGTCCCGAGTTCAGTTACCGGTACAAAAAAAAAAGCAAAACCTTGGGCTGGGGACCTGGTTCGGTGGTAGAGTGCTTGCCGGCATGTCGATGCACAGGGACGCTTTGGGCCAGCACAGGTAAGGCGACCTTTACCAAAATCTTGCTCACTGGCCTCACATTTGAGTTCCCTAGGTCAAGGACAGCGTAGCAAACACAGGCAGCAGCATGAAGCCCTGCTGGGCGAGGCCACTCAGGCCGAAGGAAGGACTGGGAACCAGCGTGTCCCTGCCCCAGCCGCAGTGGCCCTCCTCCGCTCTGGCGACACCGAGGCCTTTCAGGCAGGGGCTGCTGTGACCACGGGAGGAAAGCGCTTGGCCTCATTCTTGCATGGGATGCCTCATGTTGGGGCCGGGGAAAACCAGGTGGCTGTCACACTGGTGAGGGGATGCTCCAGACGATCCACGTCGCAGAGGGAGAAATGGCCAGGGGTAAACGTGCCCGTTCGCTGGGAGTGGTGGCGCACACGTGTGATCCCAAGGCTCTTCGAGGCTGAGGACACATTCAAGCTCAGCCTTTACAACTTAGGAACTTAGCAAGACCCTGTGTCAAAATAAAAAATCAAAAGAGGGCTGGAGGTGTAACTGGGCGTGAAGGTCCTGGGTTCGCCACCAAGAAATAAAAAAATAAGAAAAAGACGCCCATGGGTTCCTAGGCAATGGTCTGGCTGTTTGGTGAACACCCAGCAGATTAGGACTAAAAGATGCGGGAACCAAAGGGGTGCTCATGGAGTTTCTGTGTGTGTGTGTGTGTGTGTGTGTGGGGTGTGTGCGCGCACACGCGCGTGTAGCCGTACACCCAGGGCACCCCAGAGCTCAGCCAGCCATGGAGTACTGAGGCTGTAGCCCTGGCCAAAGGGCTGGGGACCCCCGGACCCCAAAGCAGGAGTCTTGTCTACTCCCAGTCGCTCCAGGCGCCAGCCACCAGCGCTGAGACCCGAGTCCTCAGGGACACCACTCCTCCAGGAGACTAGCCGGCCCGCTGGTGACAGGTTGTACCCTGCCCCCAGCCCTTGCAATTCCTGCTTCCTGGGATCTCTGCAGCCCCCAGGTCCCCTGTTCCCCATCCTGTCCCCTAACACAGGGGCGCGGCGGTTGGGGAGCAAAGGCAGCGCTGGCGAAGCCCCGTCCCTGTGGTTAAGGCTGCATCCCCGCCGGTGCCCAAGCCTGCGCAGCTATTTAATCAAAGCCTCATCGCAGCCCGGCGCCCCGGGAGCGTCCCACACAGAGGTTCCGCCCCTCCACCCTTGTCCCGGAAAGGGGACAGGCGCGGGGACTGCTCAGGCGCTGGCGCGCATGAGGCTGCAAGTTAGCCAGGTCGCTGGAACGACTCCCCACCTTGTCTGCACCCCCGCGCTTCCCCTTTCGTTTCCTCCGAACAAAGGTGTCCGTTGCCAGTACTGGCAGGGAGCGGCCGAGCGGAGGCGGGAAGCGGTCGTTAGAGCACGGAGTGGGGAGGAGGAGAGGCGTTTGGGGGCTGTGCGCAGGACCTGGGAGAAGGGACGAGATTGCGCCCCCAGAACTCTCTAGTGACCAGGGAGGGACCTTCCCCGAACGTCCCCGTCTCCCGGAACGCACAGGCGACAGGTCCGCCGCGCCGCGGACTCGGGGTCCCCGGGAGCCC